GAAGTAGTAGTATCGGTGGTAATAGTAGCAATCGTAGTGGCAATAGTAGTTGTAGTCGTAGCCGTAGCCGTTGTAGTAGTAGTAGTAGTAGTAGTAGTAGTAGTATTAGTAGTAGTAGTAGTAGTAGTAGTAGTAGTAGTAGTGGTAGTAGTAGTCGTAGTAGTAGTAGTAGTGGTAGTAGTAGTAGTGCTAGACGTAGTAGCACAAGCAGTAGCAGAGTAGTCGTGGTAGTAGTAGTAGTAGTAGTAGTAGTAGTAGTCGTAGTCGTAGTCGTAGTAGTAGTAGTAGTAGTAGTAGTCGTAGTAGTAGTAGTAGTAGTAGTAGTAGTTGTAGTAGTAGTAGCCGTAGTAGTAGTAATAATGGTTGTATCCCTCGTAGTCGTAGCCCTAGCAGTAGTAATAGTAGTAAGACTGGTAGTAGTTTTAGTAGTAGTAGTAGTAGTAGTAGTAGTAGTAGCAGTGGCAGCAACAACATAAGTAGTAGTAGTAGTAGTAGTAGCAGCAGCAGTAGTAGTAGTAGTAGTAGTAGTAGTAGTCGTAGTAGTAGTAGTCGTTATCAGAGTAGTAGTCGTTTAGTAGTAGTAGGTGTAGATAGTAGTAGTAGTAATAGTTGTAGTAGTAGTAGTAGTTGTTATAGTAGTAGTCGTAGTGGTTAGTAGTAGTTCGTAGTGTTATGGTTAGCGTAGTTGTAGGGCAGTGTTAGTTAATGGTTGTAGTAGGTCGCCGTAGTCGTAGTCGTTTTGTTCGTAGTTAGTAGGAGTAGTTAGTATAGTTATAGTCGTAGTAGTAGTAGTTCGTAGTTAGTAGTCTGTAGTAGTAGTTGTAGTAGTAGTTGTAGTAGTAGTAGTAGTGTAGTTGTAGTAGTAGTAGTAGTAGTAGTAGTAGTAGTAGCCGTCTTAGTAGAGTAGTAGTAGTTAGTAGTAGTAGTAGTTAGTAGTATAGTGTAGTATTTTGTTTGCGCCCTGCCCGTCGGGCTACTATAACCTTCCCTTCCCCTCTTTCTTTCTTTTTTCCTGGGCTACTACTTCTCCTTATCTTTCCGTATATCCTTCTCGTTCTCTTTCTCCTACAGATAGGCGCCTGGAAACTTCATCATTTTTGTCTTCAATTTGGCCCCCGATGGAATCCGCAGCGATGGAAGCGAACGACCCGCCCGTCTGGGCACGTCCAGTTTGATGATGACGACAGAGGTAATGACCATGACCGGATGACGACAGGACGACGACAACGGCGATCAGCATGATGGTCAACATTCTGGTGATGAACAGGGAGGTGGTGGCGAGGATGTGGATACAAGTGCTGACGTTGTGGAGAGGAAAGGCGAGTAATTTAACATATGCCAGGGAAGTCTTCAATTCGGAAAGCGCTTCCTGGCTTGCTGGGTGCCGTTCCGTGCCTTCGGGGCCAACTCGGTGCCGTGCCGCGCGGGGAGCCCAGACATCCGCGAGACACTGCGCATCTCTTGCAGTCGGCCTCGGGAGGCCGCTTTCAGGCTGCGGGAGCGCCAACAAACTATCCGCGGAGAAAAACTGACCTGGGGGAGTTGTCCAGGCCTCCAGGGGCCGACGCGTCGAACCGTTTCCGGGTTGTTCGAAGGACCAAAAAAACGCCGAGAAATCAAATGCCTTGGGGGAGTTGTCCAGGCCTCCAGGGGCCGACGCGTCGAGAAAATGGGGCGCTGGATGTGTGTGTGTGGGGGGGGGGGGCGCGCAACTGACATGCCTGATTGCGTACATCTGTACATGCCGTAACATACCGGAACCCTGCTCCGTGGACTTCGGCTTGCCATGGGTTGGGTTTCTGCGAAGGCCAGAGGGGGTGCACCTGAACAAAAGGGGCGGGGGCTCCTCTCCCACAGGTCTGTCATGTCTTGTCCGCGCAATGCGGCGCCGTGCGTCCGGGGGGAGTAGAGGGCCGTCAGGGCCCCGCGCAGGGGCCCAGGTCCGTGCCGTGCCGCGCCGCGCCGTGCCTTCGGGGCCCGCCCCGGGGCCCACTCGGTGCCACGCCGCGCGGGGAGCCCAGACATCCGCGAGCCAATGCGCATTTTTTTGCAGTGTTCGGCCTCGGGGGCCGTTTTCGGCATGTGGGAACGCCAAGAAAGTCTCGGGGGGGAACATACCGGCCCTGGGGGAAATATGCAGTCCTCCAGGGGCCGACGCGCCGAAACAAATGGAACGCTGGATGTTTGGGGGCTAGTGCGTGTCTGAGTGAGCAAATATGTGCACGTCGTGACGTGCGGGTGCCTTGCGATGGGTTGAGTTTTTGCGAAAGCCCGATGGGGATTGGGAGGAGGAGGAGGAGGAGGAGGAGGAGGAGGAGGAGGAGGAGGAGGAGGAGGCGGAGGAGGAAAAGAAAGAGGAGGAGGAGGATGACATTGAGGAGGAGGAGGAGGAGGAGGAAGAGGAGGAGGAGGAGGAGGAGAAGGAGAGGAGGAGGAGGAGGAGGAGAAGGAGGAGGAGGAGGAGGAGGGATGGGACGAAGGCGAGAAGGAGCTGGGAGCGTCTTGTCTGAAGGCCACGAGACACGAGTGGTGTACCCGAGCGCTGCAGCGCACGCAGGCCCTGTGGTGTACACGCGTGTTTTGGTGCCTGCGGCTGATGTGGTGCACACGAGCGCCGTGGGGCACATGGGAGGCATGGTGTGGTGCATCATAGACCCGAACGGGATGGGCGTTCGTTCTGTGCTCGGATTCCTCCGGAAGTCTACTGGACTCTTTCTGAAGTCCACAGGATTCCCGAGGAATCCCTGATGATCCCTAACGAATCCCATCGGATTCTGACGGGATTCCGTAGGGTTGCCTAGGATTCCTAAGGATCCCTTCGGATTCCCACATGGAAGCGCGCACCGAGGACCGATAGACAAACGGGCCGTTCATTCTGCGTGAGGAGTCTTAGGAATTAATTTTGTCTTCCGTCGGATGCCCAAGGAGCCCCATAGGATCCCGAAAGAGTTCCTTAGGACCCCTGTTCTTGAGGATGTCATAAGATTCCAAGGATGCCTCCGGAATTCCATCGGGTTCCGATGGGATTCTTCGAGGATCCCTGCGGATTCTTGGAGGGGCGCGCGCAAGTAGGCGTGGACCCAGACGGGCGGAGTGGACCTGGACGTTCGCTTTAAGATTTGTTTTTCGGATTCGCATCGGAGTCCTAACGGATGCCGTGGGAGGTCCGAAGGATTCTTTAGATATCCCTCAGGACTGCCATGGTATGCCAAAGAAAATCCTTAGGGTTCCTTCGGGCCACTGAGGATTCCTGTATGGAAGAGAGCACCTTGGTGCAGATGGGCGTGGCCCCAGACGGGCGCGTTCGGAATCCGGACGGGCAGGGCGTTCGTTCTGCGCGAGGAACCCGAGGAATTCCTTCGGATTCCCATCGGATACCTGCAGAATTCCATTCGGATCTCATACAGATTCCGTCGGAATGTCATTGGATTCCGAAAAATCCTTTTGGAATTTCAATGGATTCGTAAGGACCCCGTAAGGATCCAATGGGATCGCTTAGGATTCCTATATGGCAGCGCGCACCGTGGAGCAGATGGGCGTGGACCCGCTCGGGCAGAGCGCTCGTTCTGCGAGGGGAGTATTAGGATTTCCTTGGGATTCCCATTGGATTTCCATTGCTCAATTTTCCAGGGGATTCACATCGGATTTCAAAGATTATGGAGGAATTCCGGAGGAACTTTGCCGGATCTCCAGAGGATTCTGGAGGAGTTCCATAGGACTCCAAAGGGATCTCTTCGGATTCACATCGGTTTCCCAAGGTATTCAATCGCATTTCCTTCGGATTCCTCGGGATGTCCATAGGATTCCCGCAGACTCCTTTAGGATTCTTTGTAGGATCCCTGAGGATTTTTATATGGAAGCGCGCACCGAGGAGCAGGTCGGCGTGTACCCGCTCGGGCGTGGCCTTCGGAACCCAGACGTGCCGGGCCGTTGTGTGCGAGGACCCCGGGGGACTCTTAAGGATTTCCATAAGATTTTGTTGGGGTGGAATTCGGATTCTATCGGTTTCCGGATGAATCGCATTGGATTCTTAAGGCGTTCCCCAGGGTTCTTTCGGATCCCCGAGGATTCCTATATGGAAGCGCGCATCGTGCAGTAGACGAGCGTGGGCCCGGACGACCGTGGCGATCGTTCTGTGCGAGGAGCCCGGGGGATTCGTTAGGAGTTCCGTCGGGGTCCGAAGAGATTCCATTAGGACCTTTTAGTCTTACTATATGGAAGCGAGCACCCTGGAGCAGATGGGCGTGGACCCGCCCAGGAGGAGTGTTCGGAACCCAGACGGTCGGGGCGTTCGTTCTGTGCGAGAAGCTTTAGGACTCCCATCTGATTGTTCAGCGATCTCTAAGGAATTCCACCGGGAATGCTTAAGTTTCCTACGGCATGTCGTACGATGTCCATCGGTTTCCGAAGGAATTCCGTAGGATGTCGTCAGATTCCGAAGGATTTGTTGTCTGATTTCCATCGGGTCCCCCAGGCATTCCATACGATTCCTCCGGAATTCCATTGGATTCCCGTCGGATTCCCAAGGGATCTCGGAGAGATTCCATCGGATCTTTAGGATACCAGTAGGAATATATATATATATATATGTATATATATAAAATATAGTTCAGTGTTCCACACGTATTTGAATCCTCGCCGTCGGTCCCGTTGCCGTCCATCGTGTCCGATGGCCACCTTTGCTCAAGTCTATTTTCCAGGTGATGAAGGACGCCCTCCGCCCCCTAGTCGACGCGGGGGTCGCGGGCGCCCGAGAGCTGGCCCGCGCGGGCCTGCACGCTGGCGCGTCGTGGGCCCTTCTCCCGAGCTGCCCATCGGTGCCGGCGTGCCCGCTCTGCCCCGCTTCGCCTCCGTGCCCCGCCTGCCCGGGGTGCCACTGCGCCTGTGGCAAGGCGCCTGACGGGCCCGGGGCGCCGGGCGGCGGAGGGGGCGAGCCTGCCTGGGTGGGCTCCCCCGAGGCCGCGCCGCAGTGCGACGCGCTGGCGGCCGCGGTGCGGGAGGTGGCGGAGCGGAGCACGATCTGCCACGACGCCGGCTGGCTCTGTGTGGCGGCGCTGGTGCTGGGGCTCGTACTCGGCAGCCTCCTGACGCGGGCCTGGGTGGCGGGTTCCGAGAGCGATGGCGCTGGTGGAGCGGTCCCCGCTCGTCGGCGGGTCCTTCGGCGAGGCTGATCCCGGGATGCCGGGTGATGGTCCGCTACGCCGAGGACGACCTCTGGCACGAGCGGATCCTTCTGTACCCGGCCGCCTCGGACGTTGAGAGCGGGGCGTGCTTGGTCGTCCTGACCCCGGACGGCGACATGTACATCGAGGAGCTAGAGGGCGGCTCGCCGGACGACAGCCCCGTGGAGTGGCAGCTCGTGGCGCGAGACCTGCGGCTGCCGCCAGGACTAGGCCGGTCCTACCGCTTTGGGGAGGACCAGCCCGGCGAGCTGCGGGGCCTGTATCGCCGGGCGTACGCAGCCTCGACGGCCGACGCTCGGAGTCGCGGGCTGCAGCTGGCGGTGCCCCAGGTGATCCGCTCCCAGGAGGGTCGCGACGTCTCGGTGGAGGACGAGCTCGGTCGCAACTTCTTCGGCGGGCGGCGGGTGACTGGCAAGCAGGGAATGCCTGTCGCTGGTGACGCGCTGGCGGCCGGGACGGGCGGGCCTGGCGACCAGGTGGCGGACGGCGGCGACGCCGTGGCCGTCCCCACGGTGCCCAACTCGGTGGGCGGCACCGTGACGCCTCCTCCGCCTGGGCACTTCTGGCGCGCCGCCGAGCCTGACAGCTCGCGGCCGATCGAGGTCGGCGATTGGGTCGGAACTCCGAGTCTGGCCTTGCACGATCGCGGGCTGTTCGAGGTGGCGCCTGGACGAGCCATCGTGGTGCACCTCGCTGCCCTGGACAAGGACGCCTTCGCGGCCTCCCTCAGGCCCGCTGTCTCCGTCGGCGACGCCCCCGGCGGCGGCGCGGCCGCGACGGGCGACGCCCGCGCCCTCCCTGTGAGGACGGGGCCGCGCGGACGGGGGCGCGAGTGGCGCGACGTGGTGGACTCGTGTGAGGAGGAGCCTTTCGGCGACTTCCCGGTGGCGGGCCCAAGGTCGACGTCGGGTGCCTCGACTTCCTTCGGGGGCGCCACGCCCCGACGGACCACCACCTGACGTTCAAGACGACGGCCCGCCTCCAGATGGAGCAATGGGGTGTCCATGAGCATGAGCAGCTCATGAAGTACCTTGAGCTGACCAGCACCTACGACCAGCTCGACCTCAGCAACTGCGCCTTCGCGGAGGCGATCCTCCGCCGGGCGCAGACCATCGAGTGGGCTTATCGTGATTGGCTTCGAGAGGCGGACTCCGCGAGCTCGAAGGACAAGATGAGCCCTGAGGAGTTCTCGGCGTTCAGCGGTTTCACCAAGGCGGGTGACCTCCTCATGGCGGCCCCGCAGTTGCTGGAGCACGTCAAGGCGCAGGTCGAGAAGGACGCCGCCATCATGAAGAACATTTGGAAGGCCAGAGAAGAACGAGAGCTCCGCCGCAAGGGCCCCAAGGCAGGGGACGGCGGCGGAGGCGAGGGATGATGCAGCAGCGGGGGGGAGGCCATCAGGCGGCCGCCTCCTCCCCGGACCTCTAGGCCGCCAGGATGGAGGGCGCTCCCTCATCCGTGCCTGGACGAATTCAACCCGATTATGCAGCTGATCGTCGGGGCCTTTTTTCCTGCCCCCCTCCTGCGCGTGGACAGCCAGGCGCCCTCAGAGGGCGCGGTGTGCCGCAGCGCGCGGCGGCGGCTGCTTCGGCGTGACGCCGTCGTGCAGGAGAGCAACCGCGCCATCGGGGCTTTGAACGACCTGGCCGGGAGGCCCCAGGCGCCAGGCGCCCCGGGCCTGGCGGAGCGGCTTCCCCATCGGCTGGTGCACGAGCGCGTCCGCCGCGCCGCAGTCGAGCTGGGCCCGCCGCCACCCGACATCACCCCCGCGGGGGCCCTGAGAGCGCTCCGCGGCGCCAGCGTGCGCGAAGATCTCGACTCGCCGGTGGTCAGCTTCGACGATTCCCTTGTCTCGCTGCCGGAGGCCGGCAACATCCCTGCGCCGCTCGGGCAGCTGCTCCAGGACGTGGGCGATTTCGATGTCGAGGCCTCAATGCACGAGCAGCTTCTCCGAACTGAGGAGGCAGAATCTAATCTTCTGGCAGCCCCGAGGCAGCCATGCATGGACACGATTTTGAGGGGAGATCCGCGGGTTTACTCCCGCTCGGTCAAGCGGCTCGCCGACGCTGGGACGGTGACCTACACGGACACACCCCGCGAGAGGTGCGGCCTTTTCTTCGTCCGCAAGAAGTCTGGCAATCAGCGCATGGTGGTCGACTGCCGTCGGGCCAACTGTTGGTTCCAGCGGCCAGCCTCTGTTGCTCTTGCCACCGGTTCGTCTCTTGGCGAGCTGGCCGTGCCTGAGGGCAAGGAGCTCTACGTCGGGCACGTGGACATCTGCGACGCTTTTTACCACTTCGGCCTGCCCGAGGATTTTCGGGACTACTTCGCCCTGCCGTCTGTGAAGGCCGGGGGCGTGGGGGTGGTGAGGCTTCGAGAGCGGCCGCTGCAGCCTGGGAGCCGTGTCTGGCGGGTGCTGGCCGTGCCCCCGATGGGTTGGTCGCGCGCTTTGTACTGGTGCCAGACCATCCACCGTTCCATTGTCAGCTCGATTCCCGAGCTGAGTGATGTGCCTTTCATCGCAAACAAGAGCGTAGTGCCGGGGCTGCAGCCGCTGGCCATGACTATATACGTTGACAACTTTTTGGCCTTGGGCACCGACCCCGAGGCGGCGCGGCGCGCCGTCACCTTAGTCAACGCGGCTTTGACACAGAAGGGTCTCGCCACTCACGAGGTTTGCATGTGCGATCACAATGCCGACATTCTTGGCTGGGAGATCTGGGGAAAAGAGTGCGATATTCGACCCGAGAGATCAAGGCTGTGGCGACTCCGGCTGGCTCTCGACTGTCTGGTCAGCCGCAGTAACGTCGACCCGAGAGACGTCGAAAAAGTGTTGGGCCATTGCACGTTTGTCGCCTTGCTATGTCGTGAGCATTTGTCCATCTTCACGTCCGTGTACTCGTTCGTGCGGAGGCTGCGCCACTGTACCGCTGTACCCCTCTGGGAGTCAGTTCGCTGGGAGCTGAACACGTTCTCGAGCCTTCTGGGGATGATCTCGCGAAGTATGTCGGTTGCCTGGAGTCCGACGGCGCTGCGCAGTGACGCGTCGTTCTGGGGCTTCGGGATGGTCAGCACGGGCTTCAAAGAGGACCTCGTGGGCTCCGTGGGCGGTTTCTCGGAGAGGTGGCGGTTCCTGGAGGGCAACAATGTGCAGTCGAGGGCTTGGGCTGGAGTTGGCGAGGGGCCTCTCGAGAGCTCCAAGGACTTCCAGGACATCGTGGGCTCCGAGGAGGCCTGCATCAACGCTCGCCAGTCTGCCGTCAGTCGCTTGCCTGCTGAGTTTCGGGAAGAGGGTTGGGCTGTCGCGGGCTCGCACAAGCGGGGGGCCCGCCCGACAACATCGTAGAGGGGGAGGCCCGGGCGCTGGCTTTCGGGGTTAAGCACATCTGCCGATCAACAGCGTCGTTTGGGCGCCACCACCTTCTCCTCTCGGACTCGCTGTCGTCCGTCTTGGCTTTGAGCAAGGGCCGCTCTTCGGCGCCAGGGGTCTGCGGGGCGCTCCGTGCCGTCGCTGCCCACGTCGTGGCCACAGGCCTCCGCCTCGCCGCCCGGCGGCTGCCCAGCGAGTGGAGCTTCGCGGACGGTCCGTCGCGAGGCCTCCGGCATGCTGGATATGCCCGAGCAGGAGGCGGAGGCGCTGACGCGGAGGCGACCTCGGACGGAGGCGGTCGATGCCAGGGAGCTGCCGCGGACGCGGGCTCTGACGAGCCCGCCCGCTGCGACGGCGCCCCGCCTCCGCCGCCGGCTGGGCGGAGTGGGCCCCGCGGGCCTGGATGGCTTCCTGCCGCCCTCGGACTCGACGAACCTGGCGACCTCGCAGGCCGTGAAGCAGAGGAAGTTGGCTCGGCGGCTTGCGAAGCTCACCCAGGAGGGCTCGCGGGATATGCTGAGGAGGGGCACTGTGCGCACTCAGACCGTCAGGACCCGCTACAAGCAGCTCGACGACGAGTTCGACGAGTGGATGGACGAGCAGGGCCTGCCGCGCCGGCCTCGCTTCTCAGTCGACCATGGGGAGGTGGGGCCGCTCTCGGCCTCGGACGTCGAGAGGATCGGCTTGGCGCTCGCCGAGTGGATGCTGTCGCAGTACCTCGAGGGTGTCGACCACTGGCGAGGGGTGCAGATGCTGGCGGCGCTGCAGTGGAGCGACCCGCGGCTCGGCCGCGACGGGTCAGCCTCGCTGCCGGCGGCGCGCCAGACGCTGCGCGGCTGGAAGGTGCTGACGCCTCCGCGGGCGAGGCTGCCGCTCCCCGAGGAGTTGGTGGCGGCCATCGCGTGCGAGCTCGTCCTCATGGGCAAGTGGGGGGCGGCCGCCTGCGCGGTGCTGTCCATGGTGTTCTACATGAGGCCCGGGGAGTGGGGGCGGGTGCTGGTGCGCCACGCCGTCCCGCCGCGTGGGGCGGGCAGCCTGGCCCTGCGGCGCTGGGCGCTGCTGCTCCACCCGCGCGAGGGCGAGGGCGCGAAGGCCAGCAAGACCGCGGAGTTCGACGAGAGCATGGTCCTCGACCTCGACTGCGACCAGTGGCTGTCGGGGGTGCTCCATCGCCTGGTGGCCGGCCGCAGCGGGGGCGAGCCGCTCCTCCGCATCGGCGTCGCGGAGTTCGCGGCGCTGTTCAGGCGGGCGGCGCGGCGGCTCGGGGTCAAGTCCGAGCCCATGCCGTGCCTGCTCCGCCACACGGGCGCCAGCAGGGACTTCGTGAACCAGCTGCGGCCGCTCCGCGAGGTGAAGAGGAGGGGGCGGTGGGAGACCGACACGTCGGTGCGGCGCTACGAGAAGGGCGGGCGTCTCAGCGAGCAGTTCGCCCGCCTCCCAGGACCGCTCCAAAGGCGCGCCCTGCGGTGCCACAGCGTGCTCCCCGAGGTGCTCTTAGGGAGGCTCGCTGCCCCGCCGTTCCAGGCTTGCTGAAGGTGCGAGTGTTCTTGGAGGTGTTCTCGGGCTCGGGGCGTCTCAGCCGTGCCATGAGTCGGCGCGGGTACCGCGTTCTGGCCTGGGACATCCGTCACGGGGCTGAGTACGATCTGAGGGACCCCGCCAAGCGCCGTCTTGTGCGCGGCTGGATCTTTGGGGGTCTGGTTCTTGGGTTGCATCTCGGCACTCCGTGTGGGGGCTGGTCGAGGGCCCGCGATATTCAGCCAGGCCCCCCGCGCCTCCGCTCGGATACGCACGTCCTTGGTCTGCCTGATTTGAGTGCTTCCTCCCAGTCTGCTGTCGATTTTGGAAATCTGATGATGGGATTTTCAGTGTCGCTCCTTTTAGTGGCGAAGCGCATGCAGGTGCCTTGCTCGATGGAGAAGCCAAGCACCTCGCGGATTTGGCTTGCTCCCGCTGTCGCGTCTCTCATTCGATCCAGGGCCTGGACCTTTGTCAACGCTGATTTTTGCCAGTGGGGCGCGCCTTGGAGGAAGCGC